TTATCTGAGCAAATTGTGAACGCCTATCTCTGGTCGAATTCGGCACCTCAAGTGGATTTCTAGTGCATTTTGGCCAGAACGCCTAATTTCTATGACGGTTTAATTATCCGTCTGCCCAGTTCCCTGACTGCCAGGCCCCCAAAGTTGTACTGGTTTATTCGAAATGGACATCACTCACTGGCAACGTCTTCGCTTTATTGTCGAAAACCCCTGCCCTCCACTTTCTTCATCACGATCTCTTTTCCTCCGGTTAGCGGTAAATCCTTTTTGCTGGTCTCGCTCCATTATTATTTTCCCCGAGTTTGCTTAGGCAGTAGGCAAAGTTATCGCTAACTCTACCTTCCTCCAATCTCTTGTTTATTAAATTTTTCTCCTCAAGGATGTCAATGGCCTCCATAATTTTGTGCTTTCTTGTGTTGTCCCCGTATGGAGCTCTTCTTTCTGTTGCCTTCGAATTGATCTCGTGTCCATTCTGTGCGATGTGTTCCGCTAGTTCTGATCTTTCGGTATCCATTTTCCTACAGAGCCTCTGATGTTCCTTGATTCGTGTGCTAATTTTTTCCCTGACTTGCCAATATATTTCTGTTCGCACAAGCGACATGCTATGCAGTAAACTCCTGAACAATTCAATTTGTCTACCCTTTCATGTTGCGTTAGTAGACTTATGAAAAGTGTTGATTTCTCCTTCATGACCACCTGAATATTTAATTTACTTAATATTGGCCGTCATTTTTGAGTTAGTTCGCAGAAAGGTAGTCATAACCACTTTTGTGAATCCTTTATCATCCTTACTGTTCTTTCATAGTCCCTGTTCTGGCATCGGCTTTTCACGTCCCGTATGTTTCTTTGTATTACTACGCTAGCGTAGCCATTGCCGAGCAATATCCCAGTCAATTTCTCCAGCTTCTCGTGCCAGAATTCTGAATCCGTCATGCGTAGGCTTCTGATAATCATGCTCCTTATTATTCCAATCTTTAGCCTGTAATTGTGATGGGGCCGGAAATGGAGTATTGTCCCTACATAGGACTTCTTTCTGAACAATTTCTTTTTCAGCGTTCCATTGGAAAGAATCACTCCAACGTCCAGGAACGGTAACCGCTCACCTTCCTCTACTTCCATCGTGAATTGAATTTTTTCATCAATCTGATTTACAAACATGAGAAACTCTTCCAGTTTTTCTCTTCCATTTGACCAAAGTGCAAAGTAATCATCCAAGTACCGCATGAACACTGCCGGTTGTAGCAGTGCCATCTTGAAGCTTTCTTCTATTTTGTTCATGTATAAGTTTGCCAAAAGTGTTGAGAGCGGCGATCCCATGGGAATTCTAAATATTTTTTCATAGATATTCCAGTTGAATGTAAAATAGGCTGTCCTTATTGTCAAGTTGATTAGTCCGTTGTGATTCCAGGATATCCTCCTCTCGGTCCAGCATTTCCACAGGGCCGTTAGCGCATTTTCTCCAGAGATATTTGTATACATCGATTCCACATCGAAACTTACCAATAAGT